AATAGCACCCAGTGTGCCAATTACCACTGGAATTACCACTGCTGGTTTGTGCCATAGTCGTTGAATTTCGATTTTTAAGTCCTGGTATCTTGCAATTTTTTCATGTTGCTTCTCGGCGACCCTGCTATCACCCTTATTATTATTATTATTATTATTATTATTATTATTATTATTATTATTATTATTATTATTATTATTATTATTATCAGACCTTGTTTACTTACTCCTTTTATATCTGCCACATTACTACTTGCAAATTTTCCAAATTATAACCAGTTATAAACTTTCCAACAACCTGAATTGGACTGCTAAGCATACAATTTACTGCATAGTTTAACAGCTGTTTTACTACACATGACACTAAAACAGCAATCTTGATTTTGTAATAACTATCAGGGATTTGAATAATGGCTGAATTATTATTCTGTATGAACCTGAAATTAGCCTACCAACCTTTGTGCATTTTCTTGACTCCTACATTAACTAGATCTTTATTTTTATTATCTAGCTTCATTTAGCTCCTAAAAGTAGGAAGCAGTGAAAAGCACTTGGATATACCAAGAGGTTTGTAGAATATGCCTAGGTAAGAATAGGCTGAAAAACAGTTTCTATCCCAGAGCAATAAGTATATTGAATTCTACTGTATAGTGCAATAAAATGCAATATCAAGGGTTTTCAATTGAATTGTATAGAATGCTAAGGATTGTGTTTATGTTTTATTTTTATTGTTATAATGTGCATTGAAGATGGCATTTAATTTTGTTGTACGAGGTGCAATGACAATAAATTAAACTAAACTAAAACTAAACTTTCAGCCCTAAAGTCAATATATATACCAGATACAGATTAAAGGGTATATAAGCAAAGATATAGGTACACTGCACAGTATATATTTGGTTGTGTACTATAATTATAGGTAACAGCATTGGCAGCTGATAGAGAATTTAACTGGCTGTATTAAGTATTATCAGCATGCTAATCTAGCTTCCTCCTTCTGAGTCCTATTTCACAAACTTAGATAAGCATAGCCTGTGATTAGAGATGATAGCAACTGTAATTTAAAATGTATATGTGAACAACAGGTGCTAGAGACAAATAAAATAGCCTTTAATATTCACTGTCAGCTCTTAAGTTATTAGAAGCATTTGGCTGGTGTGTCATAGAGAGACCTTATAAAGGTGTACTAAAATAATCTGAACAACTCTAGTAGTTCCTTTTCTGCTAGTAGGCACACATTTTATTAAAAGGAATAAATTTTTGTAAGCTGAAGTTCACTCATAATGTGGCATCTGATAATAGGAGCTACAACTCACAAGTTGATGCTTTTTAATCAGAAAATATGCTACAATCTCTTCCTGATTTTTGTACCTTAAACTAATGGGGCTTCCTCTTTGGACATATATAGTGTATTCTAAATGATTTGGGAAACTACAGTTTTGATTTTGTGTCTCCAGTAAGAGAAGATATATAGGCAAAAATATATGTTTTTGCTTGTTTTGTTCCCTCCAATCACCAGACAATTATTTGGGGAGATTAAATGACTCTTCTGTCTATTAAGACCTATCCAATTGTATACATATGTATTTTGGTATCTCTTTCCATTTTTGCTGTGGAACATTCTTTTCCAGGCCTGCAACTGAATATTAGATACTCACATTACAACTTTTTTGGGATGGTGATGTATTTCATAACTTTCAAGTCTTCTAATGTTTATTTCTTCTGTATGCAGGTTTACACAGGAGTTATGTGCCAGAGTTTGACTCCCTAAGGTTCCTAAAAAAAAAACATTCACAAAAAATTGTTGAAAGTATTTTGTTGTTGTCAAATTTTCAAATCTTACACATGTATCACCTAATCCCTGAAGGTTATTTTTATTCTTTAATTTCCTTTGCAATAAACCACAGTGATTAATGACATGGATAATGGCATCTTTGCTCAAGTTTGAACATTTGTAACACTATCGTGACATTTCTCAATTTTACAATGCTCCAGTCTATTAATTATATACTTTGCTGGGAATCTCTAGCATACATATAGATCCAATAGTTTCAATCAATTAGTTCTTCAAAGGAGGTTATTGTCCTTTCTTCCTTCCTTCTTTTCTTCCTTCCTTCCTGTTTTTTTCAATCCTGTATATACACACACACACACATACATATATGTATGTATGTACATTTACATATACATCATATACATATACATAGTAAAGATAAAGGTTCCCCTCGCACATATGTGCTAGTCATTCCCAACTCTAGGGGGCAATGTTCATCTCCGTTTCAGAGCCAAAGACCCAGCACTGTCCAAAGACGTCTCCGTGGTCATGTGGCTGGCATGACTAAACACTGAAGGTGCACAGAACGCTATTACTTTCTCACCAAAGGTGGTCCCTATTTTTCTACTTGCATTTTTACATGCTTTCAAACTACTAGGTTGGCAGAAGCTGGGACAAGTAACAGGAGCTCACTCCGTTACACAGTGCTAGGGATTTGAACTGCTGAACTGCTGACCTTTCTGATCAATAAGTTCAGCATCTTAGCCACTGAGCCACCATGTCCCTTATACATACATATATAAAACTAATATCCAAAGGGATTAACAGCCTATTATTACAGGTATGTCTTCCAACAATGCAGGACACATATTTTTTTTTAATTTTATTATTTTCCTTCTACAACACCTTACAGTTATTATATCAACATTATTATGTCATCATATCTGTACATGTAAATATTATTTCACTTCTATGTTTATAAACCTTTATACAAAGTTCTATATGTATGTATGTATGTATGTATGTATGTATGTATGTGTGTATAGATATATAGATATATAGATATATAGATATATAGATATCTATACATACATACATATATACATATACATATACATATATACATATACATATACATATACATATATACATATATACATATACACATATACACATATACACATACACACATACACACACACACACACACACACACACACACACACAAACAGAGACACACACACATACATACATATTTGGCTTAATTAATTTTATTCTTGTTTTGCAGCCATTTGTACCAATTGTTCCAAATTTCATAATATTCCGACTTTTCTTTGTCTTTTAATTTTAGTGCTAATTTGTCCATCTCTGCACTATCCAAAAAAAATTGTATCACTACTTCATCTGAGGGGATATCATTTTGGTTCCAGCATTGGGCAAATGTTATTCTAGCTGCGATCAGCAGATGTGTTAATATGTACTTAATTTTCTTTGCATATTTCCCTTTTATTATTCCCAGCAGAAAGAGTTCGGGTTTGTATTTTATTTGTTCTCCTGTAATTTCTTGCACCCATTTCCAAATATTTGTCCGATATTTTTGAGTTTCTGGGAAGATCCACCATATGTGATAGAAAGTCCCTTGTATTTTTTTACACTTCCAGCAGGTCAGATTCATGTTTGGGTACATTTTAGCCAATCTCGTTGGTGGTAAATGCCAACGATAAAACATTTATACATATTTTCTTTGAGTGCTACTGATCATGTTAGTTTATAATTTGTGTTCCAAATTCTTTCCCAATCCACTAGATCTATATTGGGAGGACACATATTTTAATTTATTTAAAGAAAAAACATAGTGAGATTGTACCCACACAATAAGTAGATTCCCATACCTATTGGCAAAAGTAAATCATATCCAAGGTATTGAATCAGAACTAGTGAGAACATAATTGTGTAACTAAAGTACAATCTTTTCCAATATAGGAATGATTAAATTTTAAACATCCATTATAATTTGCCTAATGAATGCTTCAAAAACCTTTAAGTTAGATTTGAGACCTAATAAAAATGGAAATACTTTATCCACAATCTGTAAATATAAGTGTAACAGGATCAAAAGCCTACTTATATACTCATTGTGAGGATCAAAAAGAAATTCCTCTAATTCATAAGGGATTCTTTTCCTTATGAATGAGAAAAATTGCTCATGCTATTTCATGAACATGGGAGATAAATTCCAAGATGTCTTTGTTTAATGGAAGAAAGAAAAAAGAAGACATAAAGATGGCAAACAAATGAAAAGCTATTGGTTGCCTATTTGGCTGCCTTCTTTGGTAACCATTTGCAACCAAGAAATCAAAGACCTGCTTGCAGAATTGGTGAGCAAATCTACACAGCTCTGTGCATTCATGGAGTTGTGTACATACATGAAAATTGGCACTACAATGTTCTATCAGGACATAGAGCCTAAGGGCAAGATGAAATTCACGAAAAGCTACATTTTATACTTTGCACACTTTAAAGGGGTTGCACAGCTAATCATCAGAACTATTTGGAGAATAGTTCCACCATCTTAATAGACATTAAAGATTTCACAATGGAACAATGGAATCAACTCTTTTATACATCTATAAAAACATCTATAAAAGTTTTACCTCTTAAACTGACAGAATATGGACCAGAAATCCAGAGATAAATTTAGATCTCATTGAAGCTGATTTTACTTTTAGAAGAGCATGTAGTGCAAATATTATCCCAGGTAGGAATAGCAATTCAGATGCTACTCTTGAATTGAAAAGAGGGGGGGGAAACCAAAACATACCTCTGATAATATTGACTTCGAAGTTCTCCAGAAAAGAAATAGCTAGAATGATTGCCAAGTAAAGCTTCATGGTTGATCCTTTCCTTAGGATGATGGGAAGATGAATATTTCAAGGCTTATTTCAGCACACTTATGTACTGTCTGGACATTCGGAACAAGGGGTGTAATGGGAAGGATGAGAGATGGAAAATCTTTTTTAAAACTCCACCTGTTCATATCGTAAGATAGAAGGAGGGGGAAAAAAAACCCTCTTCTGTTCTAGCCCCCAATCATGAGCTTTTTCCTGCCACAATGTGGTTACCTCTGCAAGAATGTCACCGTTAGTTTTATTCTAAGTCTAAAAGAAAGTTTTCTTCTGTCCACAGTGGAAACCAATAGTGTGACTATGGTTTTATCACTAAGCTGTGGATTTACAAAGCACTGTACAAATCAGGAAATCAAACTGCTAGATCAGAAGACCTGAGTATAGTAATCTAAATTTGCTATCTAGTTAGAGGAGAGACATAAACACAGGCATTATTTTCTCAGGAACCTTCAATGAATAAAACATTACCAATATGAAATAGAAATATATATGTGTATGTGTACCTCTACGTATGGTTATATATTTAATATATAATATGCTGAATTATTGATAAATTATATTTCTTCACCAAATTCCTATATATTATACCAGTTGATACAGAGAGTAAGGACAATTTGGAGATACATGCTTCTCTATAAGGCTTTGTAGATAGCATAGGGTTAGGTCAGTCTAAATCAATGATTCCCAACCATATCCCATCTAAGCATCTCTAAAATCCTGATGCCCCCCTCCCTCCAGTGACATATAATTCTTACTTTACTCAAAAAGTGAACTCTACTCACAGGGAGGAAGCCTAAAAGGCCATAAACTTAGTTCAAACAAAGTTCAAATTGCCCAACCTTAAAAATCAAATTGCCCCCCTGTGGGGCATGGGAACCACTGGTCTAAACAATCTTTCAAACATATTTTGCATATTGAATGGCATAACTTTATGGTTAGTGTTTGGACTAAGGAAGGACAATATGGGTACACAGTATATCATTAAAAATATTATTTGTTGGAATAATCAACCCAGTATGTTACTTTCTGTAGGGTTAGCTAATCTAAAATGCATGGCATGAAAATAAAAAATAAAAAAGGAAGAAGGGAAGAGGAGAACACCAAAACCAGCAGCTTCTTTTTAGTTATGACCTTTATATAACAGGGAGCCAACTTAATAATAATTATAGGCAAGATTATTGTTAAATGATAAATCCTTCTACAATCAGACCCATATGCTAAGTCTGGGAAACACCTCATTGTGGAAACTGCACTGAACTATGAGACAACTCATACATAATTATCTGTTTTCAGGAATACAGTGGACCGGTTGAAGGCACCTGCAATGATCTGCAAGGACAGAAGGCAGAGCTTTTGTTCTCAGAAACAATGCAATGAAAATGACCAACACTAAAATTGCATAGAAATGGCAGAAATAGCATGAGAACATTTTTAAAAACTGCCCTAGAAACCATTTCTGCCACTTTATATATCAGTGATGGCTAACCTTTTATGTCACTGCGGGTTGACCTGCGTGCTGGAAATGGCACACAGAACCATCCATCCTGGAACACGTGGCCTCGCTGGCCTTCATGTACACAGATCACCAAAACCTGTAAGAGCAGCATTTCGACCTGAACTGTTAGTTTCTGGTGTGGGTGCAAGCCTGATGGGCAGCTGGCCATTGCGCATGCACGTGACAGAAACCAAGAAGTTTGGGTGTTGGCACACACATGTGCATCAGAACACTGCTCTTCTTTGTTTCGGTGCTCCCGTGCACACAAAGGCCAGCTGGCTGGAGCACGGAAGAGGAGCCAGCGAAGCTGAGTGTCCTGGGCGAAATGGCTCTGCGTGTCACTTCCGGCACGCATGCCATAGGTTCACCAACACGGTTATATATCATTGCTGGGATTTCAACTTGACTGGAAAAGGGAGAAGGGAAAAAAACCTGGATTTGGAAGCAATCTGTCTGCAAATTCCCTCAGTCCTTTGGGAAATACACAAATCTTGGTGGCTAGGCAGATATAACTGAAGGTCGGCAGTGCCACAAATAGCCCCATGCTATGAAGGTATTAAGAGGTGATAGCTATCCCTTGAATTGTATCCTGGAGCCTATAGAAATCCACTGCAGTTTATCAAGAAGTAGCTTTAGATATGTAGTCTATGGTGAACACATAACTTCCAGCACTGACACATTGTGAACCAACTCTAACTTTCAGATGGTATTTAAGAACAGCCTTAGGCAGACCCTGCTGCGATAGTGCAGGCAGCAGGTGACCAAAACACGAATGACTTTGGGCAAGGTTTCCCAGTCTAGGAGTTACAGATACAGATTAACTATTAGAAGGGACCTTGTAGGTCATGTAGGCCAACCCCCTGCCCAAGCAGGAGACCCTACACCCGAGATGGCGAACCTATGGCACACGTGCCACAGGTGGCACGTAGAGCCATTTGTCAGGGCACGCGAGGCATTGCCCTGTCAGCTGGCCAGCGCGCATGCACATGCTGGCTAGCTGATTTTAGCCTTTTTGGAGGCCATTTTTCACCCTCCCAGGCTCAAGAGGCTTTATAGGAGCCTGGGAAGGGCGAAAACATCCTCTCCCCACCTCCGAGGTCCTCACAAAAAACTGGCCCTATAGGAAAACCAGAAGTGACTTCTGCTTTGCTCGTAGGGTCATTTTTCGTCCTCTGGACCCTTCAGGGAAGCCTCTGGAAGGCCCCTGAAGGCTCCAGAGGGCTTAAATCAGCCCTACGAACAAACCGTAAATCCATTCCCAAGCTTCCAGTTTGCCTGTAGGGCCAATTTTTTGCACTCCGAAGACTTCAGGGAAGCTCCTGAAGTCTCCGGGGGGCCTCCAGGGGTGGCGGGGGGCTGTTTTCACTCTCCCCAGGCTCCTATAAAGCCTCTGGACCCTGGGGAGGACGAAAAAAGCATGCAACAAATAAGGGGGAAGAGGGGGAGTGCCTGTCATGTGCACTGGTGGTGGCGCATTGCATTATGGGTGCGGCATGCCTGCGCACTACCCCTCTGCGCTCCCCTCACTTTTGGCACGTGAGCCAAAAAAGATTCACCATCGCTGCCCTACACCATTTCTGACAAATGGCAGACCAATTTCTTCTTGAAAGCCTCCAATGATGATGCTCCCATATCTTCGGAATGCAAGCTGCTCCATTGGTTGATTGTTCTCACTATCAATTTTTTTCCTTATTTCTAAGTTGAATCTCTCCTTCAGTTTCCATCCATTATTCCTTATATGACCTTCAGATGCCTAGGAAAATAGCTTGACCCCTTCCTCTCTGTGGCAGATCCTCAAATAGTGGAACCCTGCTCCCCTTGTCCTTCTCTTCACTAGGCTAACCATGCCCAGTTCCTGTAACCGTTCTTCATATGTTTTAGGTTCCAGTCCCCTAGTTGCTCTTCTCTGCACTTTTTCTAGAGTATCAACATCTTTCTTATAGTGTGGTGCCCAAAACTGGTTGCCGTATTCTATGTGTGGTCTTACTAAGGCTTTATTGAGTGGTATTAGTACCTTACTTGTGCAAAAGCTCA